CCAATACATTAATAATCTCATCTCATCACAATAAATCTTATCTCATCTATATGGTAATGAAATTCAATTCTATTCTAGTGTAATCTTAACTCATCTCATGTATACCATATAATAATGTAACCAAGTCTCATCTCATTTAATTAAATCTCATCTCATCTCTATTCTAAAATGATGTAAACCAACCTCATCTCAAATCTGTTTTAAATTAATTCACTCTGTTGCAACATTCCTCTCTAACTCTATCTGATCACATCTAATTACTCTTCTAAAGTAATACAATCTCATTATTCTCATCAAATCCATAATGTAATGTAATCTCATATAATCTCATCTCATCTCTTTTCATTTAATCTCACCTCTAATCTAAGATTATCTGAAATATCCAAATCTGTTCTAAATTAATGTAATCTTGTCTAATTGTATCATATAATCTCTAATTTATTCAGGGTTGGAAGAAATATTCGGATATTTGAGTAAAAGTAGTAATACTACATCGTAGAGGCACTCTGTTACAAAGACCTGCATTTCAAATCTTACTTAAGTCAAAGTTCATGAAGTTCATACATATTAGCATCAAAATATATTTAAAGAATTTGAAAAATACATATTACTGGATTATAATTAGTGATGCATTAATGTGTAAGGAGCTAATTGTAACTCCTGAGTATCCTAATCCATAACAACATATCAGAATGTATTAACATATTAACCACCTGAATCTGCAAAGTAATGAGTAACTAAAGCTATTGAATCAATTAGTGTGGAGTAAAGTACAATCATTGCCTCTAAAATGTATAAATGAGTATAAAGCAGCATTACTACACTACATTCCACCATGTAATCCGACCCATCTCATCCAATCCCTTCCTGACAAAGCAGTTTTATTTTACTTGCAGAAGCTGACGAGAACTGGTTCTCTAAACGATGCTTACGTTTAATTCATTACTGGAAGGCTTCAGAAAGGAAACAGTGTTTCTTGTGGTGCGGTGACACAACGCTGCTTTCTTATCCGATGAAGTTTATTTGCTTTTTTATTCGAAAAACATGCTCCAGTGCTGATGAAAGGATCGAGCCCACCACTTCTAGGAAGCAATTGATTCCAGGTGCGATTCGGAGGAAGAGCTTAATCTGTTGAGTCACCAGGAGTGAACTATGACAGTAGCATAAATCTAAGGCAATGTGGTTATCTGGCACAAAGCTTCGATAAACGAGATGAATTCTTAGGAGTTTAGTCAGTGTTGGAAGCGAGTCTTTGTGTTTCCTATAAGGAACGTCCACTTAATATTAAATGTTTTTTGTCTCTCGTCAACTCTTTGGAAAAACAGTCAAAGTAAAAAAGCCTCCAGACAATAGTGGGACGTTTGTACAGTAAAAGTACTTAAGTCATTTGGCCTAAACAGTCCCACTAGCAAAATCTTACTCAATCATTTATTCACAACTCATCGACTAGTCACACATTATCTAAAGGTCAAAATTACATCATGCAACCAAGACAATGTGTGCCTTTTATTTGTGTGTCTCTCTTGTTTCCTCTTGTGTGTCTCCAGTGGCTAAACATAGAACTGTTAAACAGAGACCATCACAGGAGCAGCAATGATTCAATAATGAAGCTACTTTTGGCTCGATGGCCGATTAAAAAAGCTTCAACTTCATACAGTCGTTGTCTATATCTGCCAAATAGACCTTTATGTTTATTATGATGGTATTTTTCTGTCTATTTATGCTTTTAAAAGAAGCTGTTTTAACATTTATGTCAGCGTTTGTCTGCACCTTTTCAACATAAAACAGCTGACATGAATAAATGAAGTCTATTAACTAAATTTAATAATGGATATGGCTCCTCATAAAATTAGTGTGTAATTTCATCATTTCTGCCACACAGGCTCCAGATCCAGATGTTCCTTATGATCCTTTCCTATAGGTGTTGACATTTATGATCTTGAACAATGTTTCAAAAGCGCAAATCCCACATATTATTACTCCTCTAAGCTTTGATATAAAGTAACTGACATTAACCAGGCAGTAGGCCTATGTCCCGCAAGAAACCTTTAGTCATTGAAAAAAAACTCCAAGCCATGTTGGTCCAGTCAGCAGAAAAAAAGTGCATTTTCATCCTCTTTTAAGCCTCGTTTGAACTGTGTAACCTACAGTGTTTATCGGTAAACACACTGTCTTTAACAGTCTGAAGAGCCGAGGTCTCCTCATATCACACAAACGAACAGGGAAACCCATAAGAGTGCAGCCCTTAAAAGGCTACTGACTTAACATATTTACATTCAGTACTTAATTACCCAGAATAACCTGTGACGTTACTGGCAGCAGCGCAGTTAAAATTAAAGAGAAATCCTGTGACTGCTGGACTACTACACCGCATACTTTCCTCAGGAATGGAATGCTACTGGCTGATCCCAAGTCAGACGGAGGGAGGAGGTCACTGTTTTCTCTCAGCTAATGCACATTTTTGAATACCTTGTAGTGTAGAGCATTAAAATACTACCTAGAGAAAGGGGGTGAGCTGGGGGGGGGGCAGCAGATTGGGGTTTTTTT